ACTCCACCACTATATACAAATCCCCTCCCCCATCTCCACTCCGCCCCACCCAACACACACCTTTGGAAGGTGAGTCAGGACAGCTGGGTTTGATCGCGGCCACTGCCTTACAGCAGGGAGCAGGGAGCTGTTCCAGTGCAGCGCTTGGCTCTGGGAGGCCTGTCAGGAGATGCAGGGGCCTGATTGGGCAGGAGCCAAACATGGCGGGGGTCTCTCTTTTCCAAATCCTGCACTGAAAGAGAGATGAACGAACCGGTTCTAAGTGGAGGCAGCCAGGGATTGAGAAATAGTAGAAAGAAAGAAAGAAGTCACAGAAATAGATTTAAAGCTGGGAGCTGGGTGGGCCGCCATCCTCTCTGATGGAGAGGCAAGACAATGACGACTACCCCTCCCAGTGCATTTATTTTATATCCCAATACCAGGAAGTTATCACCAACTTATTTGCATTCTTAAATAGGCTCTTGCATGCCTGGATTTACATATCTAGTCCTGCCCCTGCCGGCTGATATGAAGGCCAAGCTGATTACACTTTCTGCCATCTTGGGGAAATGTCTAGATGTGGCTCTACCAATCTTCTCTGTCTCAGCTGGCAACAATTAATGCCCATGTGCCTTCCCAGGTGCCCTCTACAGGGAGACCTGGTGAAGAGCAAGCAGGAGGGCCCAAGAGGTAACTAACATGTGTGTTGGGGTGTCATCTATAACACTGGGAGGGGCTATGAAGCAGCACAGGAGGCCGTCCTGGGGCAGCGTTTGGCAGGGTGGCCCAGGTGGGTGAGGGTTAGCAAAGGCCTCCAGCCCGGCCCTGTCCCCTGGTCCCAGGAAAGGGCTGCCAAAGCCTGGTGCTCCTTGTGCTGAGGAATCAAAAGGCCGCTGCCTCCTTCTCTCGATAACCCAGCTGCCTGGACGCCTGTTGAGACTCTGCAAAACCATAAAGAGAACTTTATCTTCATCCAGGGTGAGCGGCAGAGCCGTTTTTAAAGTTAGTTTGATGTGGATGTTTTAAAGTTACTCGGTCTTGAAGGGAAACACATGCCATCCACTGACATGCAATTGCTGGGGCACAGGGGCCCTGCTCCTCGGTTGTGAGAGAAGATCCTTAACGTGAACTCGTAGCAGTCACACTCCCGCCTGCCTTTAGGCTGTGAGTCCAAGTGTTCTCTCCTTCAATTTCCCAATGGTCAACGGGGAAATCAGTGACAAGGTGAATGGACAGCCTGACTGGGGTGGGCCTATGCGATAGAACACTACGCAGAGTGAACAGGAGCAGCGGGTGGACAAGCATCCAGGATCAGATAATGATGCTGAGGGAAAGGAGGCAGACAAAAGCGAGTACGTGTTGTATGATGCAATCTACATAACATTCTATAAATGCTACAGCCTCTCCTGTGACAGAAAGCAAGACAGGGATACCTGTGATTGGAGTGTGGTAGGAGCAGGAGGAAAGTTCTGGACACACACACACACACATACACACACACACACACGCACAGACACGTAATTGTAATGGTGTCACAGTGCCTATATGTCAACACATAAAATTGTAATTTTAAAGATGCGCAGTGTATTGCATGCCTATTATACCTCTCAAGGTGCTAAGGAGAGTGGGTACTATTATGAGGTATTCTTTTTGCTACCTTAATAAATCTTCTTTGCTCCCTTCAAAGTTTCCTGGGGCACAGCTGCTGTTCTGCTCTCAGTGACCCCAGGAGGATACCAAAGAGCAGAGAGAACCATCAGGGCAGTGTCAGGACCGCTGCCCCTCAGCTGGTCTGCTCCTCTAGGAGGAGAACCTCGGCCAGGCCACTCACAGGCTCTGGCTGACCTCAGTGGCTAAGAAGACATTAAGAGTGGGGTAAACTTGGGTTGTGGACATTCCTTGGCACTTTCATCCCTTCCTGACCACCCTTCCACGAGAGACTCTCCAGTCAGGGCGGATGGCATGGACAATGATTGAGCTGCATCACCTAGTGAGGGGAATTAGCATTCTCTCTTTCATTTCTTTCCTTCTACGAAGCTGAGTAGGTGGAATCAGGACGCCTTTCCTGCCCTTGTTTCTGGTTTGAGCTAGTGAATCACTCCTTAAAAGTAATCCCCGTATGTAAAACAGGAGCTTGCCCTCCCAATCCTCCCTGTCTGTAGCCAATTGTTCTCCACTGTTCTTATCACTACCTTATCTATTGTATATTTACTTGTTTGTCTCTCTCTATTCCTCTGTCTCTCACACCCACACTAGAGCATGTGCAAGCACGAGGAAGGAGATTTTGACTGTGTTATTCATGGCTACCTTCTTAATGTGTGGACATAGTAGGCAGACAGAAGCCAATAAACAGTGCTGACTGAGTGGATGAAGTGTTCTCTCTTTTTTTTTTTTTTTTTTTTAATATATTTTATTGATTTTGTACAGAGAGGAAGGGAGAGATAGAGAGTTAGAAACATCGATGAGAGAGAGTCATCGATCAGCTGCCTCTTGCACACCCCCCACTGGGGATATGCCCGCAACCAAGGTACATGCCCTTGACCGGAATCGAACCCGGGACCCTTCAGTCCCCAAGCCGACGCTCTATCCATTGAGCCAAACCGGTCTCGGCATGAAGTGTTCTCTTTCTTGCTAAGGCAGTAGCACTCAGTTTCCCCGATGCATTTCCTTCCCAATTTCTTCCTCTCCTTGGCAGCAGTAGACACTTCCTAAATTCAGACTCGATCTCTAAGACAGACTAAGATAAAGGGCCTGGTGGCCATGGGGTCCAGGACCAACACATGCCCGGTCTGAAAATGGCGACACCACAGCTGTCAGCCCGGGAGCGCAGAGACCACCAGACAGGAGCACATCACTGTCTGCTGACTTCTCCCGATCACATTTCTCTCATTTCCACTCTGACGGCATCTCCGCCGAGTGTTCAATGATTTAAAGAATGAGAACAGACAGTTACACCTAATGATTTTGTAAAATTTAGAAACCATCTCAAACTTACAGCAAAGTTGCAATGACGTTAAGAAACAAAAGAACGTGTTGTGTTCCGAATCATTTGAGAGTAAACTGCCAACCAGAGGGCCCACCACTCCTAACACCATCCGTGTCTCTCTAACCAACAAGGGCGGTCTCCGCTGAACCACAGCCTTGCCATCAGGACTGGCAGGGAGCCCAGGGCCATGCAATCCCTCTCCTCTTTCAGGTTTCAAAGGAATCGTCCCAGCGATGTCCTTCATGACAAAGGACCCGATTCAGAGCTCAGCTGCCTTCGGTTGTCCCATCCCTTCGGCCTCCTTTCATCTGGAACCGTTTTTCAGGTTTCCTTTGACTCACGGCCTTTTGAAGAGAGAAAGCCGCTTGTTCTGTAGCCTCTCCCGCAGGTCCCTTTCGCCTGGTGTTTCCTCGCTCTGAGACTCAGGCTGGTACTGCTGGCTGGCGGGGATTTCACCAGGTGACCCTGTCCTCATTGAAGCCTATTGGGCACACACTGTTTGGATATCGTGCATTACTGATGCCCTGGCCTTTCCTATGACTAGCACCTGAGGACAGCACATAAAATGTCCTATTACACGTTGGGTTATGAATTAGGACCCAGATGGAATTTAGGTTGCGGATCAGCTCACTTTAAGATGATGCATTTCATCAGCCAGGATATCAGCCTGGTGGGTCCTGATGGCCCAGGGTAACCAACGGGTCCTTATAAGTGGAAAGGGGGGGGTGGGAGAGGAGAAGAGATATTGACAGGGTCATGTGACACAGAAGGCTCAACAGGCCATCGCTGGTTTCGACAATGAGGGGAGGGGGCCATGCGCCAAGGGGTGCAGGCAGCCCTTCCAGGAGATGGAACAGGCGAGAACAGGGATTCTCCCCAGCATCTCCTGGGTGTTAACCCAGCGAACCCTGTCTCAGATGTCTGACCTCCAGAACTGTGAGGCCATACATCTGTGGTGTTCGAAGCTGGCAGGTGTACGGGGCTCTGTGGTGGCCACCGTGGGAACTAGCACACCATGGCAATGTGGGCTGCAAATGTGTCTGGTCTGAAGTTCTGCAGCCTTTCCTCCCAGGCTGTGAGCACCACCCCGCCCGGGTCACTGCTTTGAGCTGGCTGCCTCCCCCTGCCCTCAGCCCCCTCCCCCTCCTTCAGTCAAGGTCACCAGTCCCTTTCTGGTTGGATGAGCTCATCCCCAGCCTCTCGCTGGATGCATGTGGCTGGCGGGGAGCCACGGAGAACAACACGGGGCCAGATTCCCCGGAACAGAGTGAGGGGCCTGTTGAGTCCAGAGGTGCAAAATCCTGGCTGGATTATGGCAGCGAGTTCTCAGGAAGCCCAGCAAGCTCCCTGGCGTGTGGCATTCTCTCAGCGGTGTGAAGTGTCACCTCTGAAGGGCCACCCCTCCCCCGGGCAGCCTGTTGGAGTGCCCTGAGAGAGGACACCTCCTGGGGATGACACCCTTCCCCCAACTCCTCCTATTCCTCCCCTTCTTCTCCTCCTCCCTTCTCTCCTCCTCTCCCTCCGCTCCCCTGGGGTGCATTGGGGAGGCTGTAGGGTAAACAGAGGCAGGATGCCCAGAGAGAACTGCAGCTCCTACCACTGGGTGTCCTCACCCTCTGCAGCAGGAGGGCCTGGTCCAAGGCCAAGCCAGGCCGACCCCTTTGTGGGACTGGGCAGCGGGAAAAGTCATCCCTTTTCACACGGGAGCCCCAGCTCGCCCAGCTGAGGAGAGTGGGCGGAGGGAGGGAGTCCGGAGAAGTTGGGGATGGGGAGGAGGGAGCCGGGCAGGGGGCAGCACTGAGCCGGGGGCTCGCGGGGCGGGGGGCGCGGGCGGCCTCTGCGCTCTGGTCTCCCGCCTGCGCTGGGCCGGGCGGGCTGGCCCGGGCCGGGGCCTCCGGAGTCCCGCCCAGGGTGGCTCCCGGGCTCCCCTATTTGGCCGGCCGCGGGCTCGGGGCGGGGCGGGCGGGGGCGGGGGGAGTCCCGCAGGAAGATGCGCAGAGGCCGGCGGGCGGGACGGGAGGAGAGAGGAGGGGACGGGGTGGGGACCGGTGGGCTGCGCCCTCCCAGCCGGCCACTGCAGCCCGCGCCGCACGGACGCTGTCAGCCGCCCGCAGTCCCTGGAGGCGGAGGGCCGGTAGCAGCCCCGTCTGCCGGGAAGGCGGAGGGAGGCCGGGCAGCCGCCGGCTCGCCCCCAGCCCCGGGCCATGCGCGCCGGCGCCTCCCCGCGGGGCCCCGGGAGCCGCTCCTCCGGCTGAGCGCTCGGCCCTGGCGGCTGGTGCCCCCGAAGCTGCACCATGCCCTGCGCCCCGCGGAGCCGGCTGGCGCCCCTCTGGGTGCTGGCCCAGCTCCTGAGCCTCGGGGGCCCGGGGTGCGGGGCGCGCGCTCCGCCCGGCCAGGTGCCCGGCCAGGTGCGCTTCCGCGACCGCAGGCAAGGTGGGTGCTCTCCCGCTCTCCCGGGGACCTGGGGCGGGGATCGCGGCATGGGTGCGGGTGGGTGGCCCCCTTCCCTTCCCCCCAAGCGCCGAACTCCGCTGAGCGGCAAGGAAACCCGAGCCGGAGGCAGGGACGGGGCTCTGGGGGCGGCAGCGTTTCGGGGAGGATCCCTCCTGCTCCCCAAAGGCGAGGGTCCCCGCCTCTCTGCGCGGTGCTGCCGCCGCCAGGCCTCCGGGGTGACGGGCAGCCCTGCACCCCTCTCCTTTGTGTCCCCTCCGGCGCCCCGGTTTGCAGACTCTGAGCGTGGAGAGTGACTTTTTATAAAAGTTGCAGCCGGCCAGGCAGGCATCGCTTTACACTCCGGAGCGGGCAGCAGTGCGATCCCGCCCCCCGCTGCGGAGGCGCTGTGTTTTGGTTTCCTGGAAAGACTGCGGCTGTGCTTTAAAAATAACAGTCCTCCTGGGAAACCTGGCGCTCCAGGGCCCACCTTGCAGGCCTTCCCCGTCACAGGGTCCCAGCGGCTGCGCCTCTAGGGAGTCCCCGAAGCAGCTGGGACAGACCATCCCTGGTTGTCACCATCATTCATTCTTTTTGGCCTCTTTGACCTCACACCCTGGAAGGCTGGTCCTGTTGCCTCTGTTGGCGCCTTGGACCTGCGGGGCGGGGACACCCTCCTGTCTGACGGGGAGTTCCTGGTGGTTGGGAGAACAGAGCAGAGGGTGCTGGGAGAACCGAGTACAGGGTTCTGGGCACCAGCCTGGCTAGGGCACCTGGGGTCAGCCCCCTGCCTGCCCACCCCGCCCCCTGGTGCAGGGACCATGGGCACTGGCTGTTTCACAGGCACCTGAAGCGCGGAGAGCTTGTGGGCCTAGCTCCGTGGTCGGCAAACTGAGGCTTGCGAGCCACATGCAGCTCTTTGGCCCCCTGAGTGTGGCTCTTCCACAGAATACCACGGCCTGGGCGAGTCTATGTTGAAGTAGTGGCTTTCGAAGAAGTTTAAGTTTAAAAAATGTGGCTCTCCAAAGAAATGTCAATCGTTTTGCTGTTGATATTTGGCTCTGTGGACTAATGAGTTTGCCGACAGCTGGCCTATTGAGTGGTCGAGGGAGGTCTGAAGCCAGGGAGCCTGACTCGGGGCTAGCCTCCTACCATCCAGCAGCATTGCCCAACTGCCGTGCTAGGCACAGCACACACGTATGGCGACAGTGGGCACAGCACATACAGGCAGGGACAGCACACACAGGCGAGGAGAGCGCACACATGCGGGGACAGTGTGCATATGCAGGCACAGCGCACACAGGCGGGCACAGTGCACACATGCAGGCACAGCGCACACAGGCGGGCACAGCGCACACAGGCAGGCACAGCACAGAGCCCTGGGCTAACATCCCCAAAGCCCTGTGCCAGCTCACTGTGCTCAAGACCTGGGAGATTCCACAGCTTCGTGAGCCTCTACCCAAGATCGCCTGGGGGCACCCTTCCACGCAGGTTCTGCCCACGTGGCAGAGTCCGAAGCTGCCCGGGAGCTCCCCTGCTGCGGGTGGGGGTCGGGACGGGGTCGGGAGCCGCAGGGCGGCCCCTGTGCTCTCCTTGGCCGCTGGGCCCGCAGCGCCGGCTCAGATGTCAGGCCGCCAGCACGCCTGTGTAAACGGTCCGATACCATCGCCCAGCCTGGTTTGAAGAGCAGCGTTTGTTGTTCTTTGCAAAGCAGCGCCTTTGTGAGGACTCTCCTCAGAGGCAGCACAAACAAAGCCTGGGGTTTTTGGAGTTGGGAGATGGCTGGATTCTGAGACACATTCTCCCGGCGGCTGGCTTTCTGCACTGCCCGCTGGCATCGCCTTCCAGGGCGTGCCACCGGGTGTGGGCCCAGGGCCTCGCTTCTCTCCCCTGACCGTGGGAGAGGGTCCTCCCTGGCACCCTGAGGTTTGCACGGAGAGTGTATGACATGGGAGCAGGTGTAAAGTACTCTGAGCTTATTAGCGATGTGTGCGTATTTTAGGTGTTAAAAATAATTTCGGATTTTAAAGCCTCTTCCCCTACATAGTTGTCCTTAACCCTCATTTTACGCGGAGGAGATGTTTCTGAGCGGAGCTCCGTTTGGACATGCCGCGCTTCCTGGGATTGTTCCCCGGTGAGCTGCCTCCTGCTTCACCATTAGCCTGTCTCCCCTGACCGCCACGGGAGCTCTGAGGACAATGTCGAATTGCACCCACATTCTGAACATTGAAACTTGCACATTACTTTATTATTATTTTTTAAAATATATTTTATTGATTTTTTTACAGAGAGGAAGGGAGAGGGATAGAGAGTTAGAAACATCGATGAGAGAGAAACATTGATCAGCTGCCTCCTGCACACCTCTCCCTGGGGATGTGCCCACAACCAAGGTCCATGCCCTTGACTGGAATCGAACCCGGGACCTTTCAGTCCACAGGCCGAGACTCTATCCACTGAGTCAAACTGGTTTCGGCTGCGCACTAAAGTAATACTTTAGATATTACTTCTCCCATCCTTCTTGTTTTTACACGTGAGGAATGGGCGGTCTAGGTGGGCGGTCCGTTAGTCAATATGTATCCATGGAGCACCTGCCCATTGCTGTTTCACCGAAGGGCTGAAGAGTCCACAGCTGGACACTCACTCAGACCCTGGGTAGCTGGTGAGGTTCTTTCTGGGCGAAGGGCCGGGCGGGCCGAGGCAGGATTTTAGACGGAGGAAGGAGTACAGAGACTAGTCCAGCCCTCCCGGGACTAGAACCAAGCAGATTGGCAAACTGCTCAGTAGACTTTCCGCATGGCTCCGCTGTGCAGTGACGGCCATGGGGCCCCACCAAGGATCAGAACGACCGGAAATACTCCTCTTGCTCACAGCACTGTCCTACAGCCAATGTCGCCCCCCCGTGGGTGGGTGTTCCCTGGATTGATTACAAGTCCCGAGCCACTTCTGTGGCCTCTTTTCTCCTGAGCTCCATGAAGTCATCAGGGCAGGCACTTGACCCCATGTTAGAAACATGCTGTGGGCTGCACACACATGTGTGGGAACGCTGGGAGCATTGCCATGTTTTGACACAAATGTTAAGATCATGCACTCATAACATTCGCAAAAAATAAAAGTGGTTTTGGACATTGAAGCAGAATCTTTGGACTGGGCAGGATGTCCCGGATTCTCTCTCCGCTGGAGTCTAAGAATGAATCCACGGACAGAAGGTGGTCTAGCAAAGGTGGAAATCTATTAAAGAACTAGAGACCCGGTGAATGAAAACTCATGCACTGAAAGGGGCCTCAGCCCAGCCTGTCCCTTCTCACAGTCCGGGAGCCCTCAGGGGCAGGTGGCGCCTGGCCATCAGAGGAAGGCGATGCCCCATCACACCTCTGCTGCTGCCACTGCTGGCAGTGCAAGCCTCCACCAGCCCTGGTTACCTGAGCCTTGGGTGGCCCTGGGTGGTTAGGGGGCTGAGAGGACTGGGGGGCTCTGCAGGCTGGCCCGGCCTTGCTGTGTGCCTCTGGCAGGGCTGAGGAGACTGGGTACCGCCATGGCTGTGGGCACCACTATCTTTGAGGGTGTGACAGTTAATTAGCATAACCCCTCCTTGTTGGCTGTGGGTGCTGCCAACTTTGCGATGGAGTGAGGGTCAATTAGCATATTTCCTCTTTATTAGATAGGGCAAATACAGACTCCCCCGTGGGGAAGGGAAAGGATCCCACTGAGTTCCTTTTCCCTGTGGCTTATAAAGACTGCAGATCCTAGTGCCTTGATAGCCCCTCTGATTGGTCACTATTTCATTACACTGGTTAATATAGTAACTTCTGGGCTCAAAGGTCAACCTCACATGGGACATGTGAGGTTCTTCCCCCTCCTTCCTTGTTGTTTTCCTATCCCTCTGGGCTTTCTTCTCCTTCTATATGAGGGGCTTCCTTCCCTTTATTTTGTAAATAGAGACCTTTGGCTGTTCCCAGCTCCCTCATTCTGTGGAAATAGACCTGTTGCAGCTTTCAGCTCCCTAGTCTATGGAAATAAACCTGCTGCTGCTCTGCAGCCCTGTGCTTCCTCCATAGTCCCCTTCGTTTCTAAAATTTCCTAAATCTGTCTTTCTCACCTCGAAAAATTCCCATTTCAGACATTTTCTTAGTATAGGGAGAGACCTCACCGTTTTGGTATTTTGTGTGTTAACAATAACGAGCAAGGACGCTCTGCAGGTTAATCACGGGGCTGGTGAGCAGATCCACCCTTCTGTATGTTACAGCTGTGAAGGGACCAACGGAATTCTCCACATTTCCTCATGCGTGGTTTTCTAGGGTAAAGATGCAATGGAAAGCGGATAGCCATCTGTGGAGGAGAATTACGAAAATAAACTTCCCTCACAGCAATGTCATTGCCCTTTCCAGTAAGGACTCTTAGAAATCCAGTTGCTCTCTAAGATAGAACTAAATATGAAGAATAAGCACAGATTTAACTAAAACTTACAAAAACCGGCAGGTGCACATTTTCCCCTCTCCCCTTCCTTTCTCACTGAGGCTGGGGACCACTTGGCGCTTTCTATTTTCAAAAGTGCCAACAGGCTTCACTCACAGCTTCTCATCCAGCATCAGAACTGATGGTTTCAAACTGAATTGTAAACCCGGCAGGTCAGAGTGTTCAGGGCTCGGAATTTATTTTCCTAAACCCCAGTGTGGGCCGTGACATCCTCAGGGTGCGTCTTAGCCTCCCTCAGCTCCCCGCTGGGGCTCAGCAGTGGGCCTTCTCAGAGCCTCGGCCGGAGGGCGGGCTCTGGGGTCAGCTCACCAGCTCAAATCATCACCCGTGTTATTATTTTTAAAGTGGAGAGAATGGACACCATTAATGATACCTCCCCCGAAGAACTAACTGTGAGCATCAGACAAGACCAGGTGGTGGTGTCTTAATGCTGTGCATGACCATAGGAATGGTCAGAATTAGGAGCTGCGACTATTCCTAATATCGTATTTCTCCAACCCTATCGCATTCCCTCTGAACTCTGCTTTCTGTTGGCCAGGGTATAGCTCCCTAACTTTACAAACCAATGACAGCCAACCAGCATCTTTAATACCAATAAGAGCTGGTGAGTGCTCCTTTCAGGCACTGTTCTGAACCTGTTTGCTGTGTGAATACATTGGATGAGCACACCACCCGAGGCGGGAGACACTGTTAGCATGCTGAGGGCAAACACCAGGCAGCTGCAGCTGGGCCGCCCACATTAGCCAGACTCCGCTCATGGCCTCCTGCTTCCATCCAGACCTGCGGGCTGGCGTGGCATTGCTGCCTCCTTTGCAGTAACATCAAGAGGCAAGGCCAGTCTTACCTTCCATTACTCTGCCCAGTAGAGGCAGCTGTTAGTTCCATTTATTGCTGAGCAAATAGAGGCCGCTTAAAGAAGTCAAGCAGTTTGCTTGTTACATGATCATCACTGGGGGCCACGCTATTACCTCTCCTCTCTAATAATCTCTGCCAAGTGCAGCTGCATATATGTACATGATGTACTGTGGCAAGAACATGATTTTGAAATAGGAAGTACACGGTTTTAATCCAAGTTCTGTTGCATATAAGCTCTGTGTTCTCCCTTAGACTCCGTTTCTTTTTTAAAAATATATTTTATTGATTTTTTACAAAGAGGAAGGGAGAGGAATAGAGATTTAGAAACATCAAGGAGAGAGAAACATTGATCAGCTGCCTCCTGCACACCCCCCACTGGGGATGTGCCCATAGCCAAGGTACATGCCCTTGAGTGGAATCAAACCTGGGACCTTTCAGTCCGCAGGCCAACACTCTATCCATTGAGCCAAACCAGTTTCGACATTCAGTTTCTTTATGATATGGGGATAAGACTCTGTATCAAGAGGTTATTGTGAATACTGACTGAGAAGAGACTTACAGTACCTGGCTCATAGCAAGTGCTCATTAAATGGCCACAGTAATCATCATTATATTATTGTGCAGCCTCTGTATGCTGGCTGTTTAAAAAACCCATTGGGCTAAAGGCCACTTGATCAAAAGCTGAACATTGGTTTGCTCTTTTATTCTTTGGGAAACAGGTGCTTTAGTTTTTCATTTATACTTTAAAAAATCATGTTTAATACTTTGAGTTTGCCTTCAGAGACTGGCATTTTGTATCTTAAAGGACACAAGGCCCGCTCCTGAGAGAGGGGGTCGGCATCTGGACATTGGCCACAGACAGGGGACCGCCGCACGGTGATGTAAACGCAGCTGAATAAGACTCTCCTGCCTCCTCCTTCCCCCCACCACTCCAACCCTGGGGGGCCAGAGACTGCGCTACAAGCAGCAGAAGAAACCAGAAACACAGGACACTTACCCACAGGAGTCGCCTACATCGCCCCACCCAGCCTGGCCCTTCCTCTCCAGAGCTGGAACGTGGAGGGGTGGGAAGCTCTGATCATGCTAAAGAGCCAGAAATCCCCGGGGGAGTGGGCGGGGCAGAGGACTGAGTCAGTTTGACCCCTAGTTCTTGGCGTGGTAGCATCACTAATCTGTGCAAAACGCCTTTCCTGCTTTATTTATCTGTGCATTTCCCCCATTCCCCACTTCCACTTTTCCTCTAGGAAACCGTTTAATGGATTCCACATGTATTTTTTTGTTTGCTTATGCCCTGGCAAACGTTCCAGTGTTGTTTCTGTGTGCACATAGTTTCCATGAATGTAAATGGCTCGGTATTAACTCATTTTGCCTCGTATGTTTCATGGAGCGCTGCTTGGAAGGTCTGCCCGTGTCACCACGCCGTCTGTTGTTCCCAGCTGCTGTTGGGAGCAGTGGGTCTGGAGATTTTACAGCTGAAAACCGAGGCAGTTTGTTAGCACCTAAGAGGGAACGCTGTGCTCTGTCCCAGGTTTAATCGCAGGTGGAGTGCACCTCTCTGCAAAGTGTTTGGAGGCCGTGGTCTGGGGAGGAGGTCTTGCTTGCATCCATCATGGCACCTCAGCAGGTCCAGTTCTACTTTACCAGCCTCCACCATGTCCTCTGCTCCCTCCATGCTGGGGCGGGAGATAAACAACAGGCACTGTGAACGGAGGCTATTCTGGGAGCTACAGAAAGGAAGGACGTGGGGGCTGAGAGGAGGCAGAAAGAACTTCGACCAGGGATGTCAGGAGAAAGAAGGGGGAGGACTGGAGTTGGGACTTCAAAGCATAATTGGGAATAAATGGGATATTGATAGGGAATGTGAACAACATAGTAAGTAGTTGGAGAAATGACAGGAACAAGGTATTATAAGTCAGAAAGTGCAAGAACAGCTAGGAGGAGGCCAGGAGGGAGGCCCCTCCCCCCTCCCCTTTCTTCCTCTCTGTTTTCTTTTTATCTATTTTTTACCTCAAGCAAAGTAGAGTTTATCTTTCTGCTAGTGGTTTGCTTTAAGTAGTCTGTAATCCATAGTGATAATGACTCCCGAATAGATTCCTGGTTATTCTCCAACATCCAGATGAGGAGGCAGAGGCGGGTCTGTGAGAGGAAATCAGGTGCACATGCTCCTGCGGTGGGAGGAGGGAGTGGTCCTGCATCGCATTGTGAACGTGGCAGCTTTCATTGCACCCATGCCTCGGATCCTCATAGATTCACTTACCCTTTCATTTAGTATATCTTTAAAAAATAAAAAAGAAACACCCAAGATCCTGGGAGCTCATTATGGACCACTTGCGCTGTAACAGGCGTGAAGGTCGTCAGAGTGTATGTGACGTTGCTGTGTTTTTGCATTTTGTTTTTCAACTTGACTTACCAGGACCTTCCCAAGGTGCGTAAACTGCTCTCTGGGCAGTGAGGTACCTCCGTTCGTATTAATGAACCCTAGACTTGAAATGCTCACGTTCCTCATACTGACCTTGCCTTCCTCCTAAAAGTATTCCTCGTGTGTCTATGCTCGCCTTAGTTTGTCTCTGGTGAGACATCTGCCAGCCAGAGCTGCGCCTTGGTGCCATCTTCCGTGGTCATGCCATTGCGGAGGGAGCCCCGTGTGGGTTGTTCGGGGAACTTCATGCTGACTGTATTTGTGTGGTGGGTGGGAAGGATCTCGAGACTTCAAGTCAACAGTGGGGTCTTGCAATCAACAAGCTAAACTCCAGGTTCCAGAGGGAGAGCACTGGCCTTGCCATGGAGCCAGCAGGGATCCCTGTTTTATTCTGTCTCCTTCTTCCCCCCCCCCCCCCAGAGCATTTCGTCAAGGCCCTGCCAGAATACCACGTGGTGGCACCCGTGCGAGTGGACGCTCAAGGGCATTTCCTGTCCTATGGCTTGCACCCTCCCTTCGCCAGCGGCAGGAGGAAGAGGGACGTGGAGCGCCCCGAGAACTGGGTGTACTACAGGATCTCCCACGAGGAGCAGGACCTGCTGTTTAACTTGACGGTCAACCAGGAGTTGCTCTCCAGAAGCTACATTGTGGAGAGGAGGTACGGGAACCTGTCTCATGTGCAGATGGTGGCTTCCTCCGGCCCCCCCTGCCATCTCCGGGGCACAGTCCTGCAGCGGGGGGCCAGGATCGGGACTGCAGCCCTGAGTTCCTGCCATGGACTGGTGAGTGCCTGGCTCCGTCAACTCCCTCCTCCATCCCCCGACCCCCAGCACCATGACCTGCACTCTTACAACCCACAATCGATGGGTTCACAGATACGGTCAACACATGTGAATTGAACACTTAAGACGTGCATGATTGTGGCCTCTATGTGTGTTAAGGAGAAGGTGCATAACGTTAAAAGCCAGTAGATCTGGGGGCTGGAGAGGAAGGGCCCTCGGGTACCAGGTGATTTTAGCCTGCAGCCAGGGTTGAGACCGCTGTGCTCAATGGCCCCTAGGCTTGGGAGCAGAGCAATGGGACCGTTCCCATTGCAAACGGCCCTTGCAAGCTGGGAGAACCACCATGTGGGCATGTCCAGATTCATACTGAATTCAGGAGCTCAAAGAAGCAAATGTTAATTAACGGAATTATGTGGTAGTAACCAAGATGATGGAAAATTTTAGAATCAAATCATGGAGTGATTTTTGCCAGAAGAACCAGCCCACTGGGATTACTCTGGAGCCTTTCACACATAATTGGAGAATCAATGGATGTTTCTAAAAAAGGCACCAAGACAGAAGATGGTTTGACTATGAGTAGTGGCTACATAATGCAATGTACAGGCCATGTAGCAGAGTAATGTACACTTGAAACCTCTATGACCCCATTAACCATTGTCACCCCAATACATTGAATTTAAAAGGCACCAAAAGCCCAATGAGTTTCTTTCCTTTCAGTGAGGATACAAGCTGGCTGGCGTCAAGTTCATTTGCTGACGTGCCCGCCTAGAGTGGTCCTCATCCAGAGGGTAATGGTTGGGCTGGTGTCTGATTGTTCTGGATCACTTGTCTGGATCCCATGTCCAGAATATTCATTTTGCCTCTCATGGAGGGATGGCCCACCCTGAGACCCACAGGATGGCAGGCGCTGGATGAGTTGGCGCTAGGCCTTCCCCCTGAGTGGCATCTGGAAGGCTTTCTGAGGAAGGGAGCACTGTCATGTGCAACGCGACATCTGCTCATTCCTGCGGCTCAGGCGGGCACAGGGTGTGCTTCCGATGCGGTCAGCCCAATGCTAGGTGCTCTCTGGGAGTTGTCTCTCATTTTAACTCTCTGTTGGAGCAGACTCATATGGTTGCAAACTGAAGACCCAGAAAGGTCACCTGTGACAAGATGTGGATGACCATCTCCCTCCACCTAATGTCCTCTCACCTGGAGGCTGCTCTTAGATTAGTTAGCCCCTGTCCCCAGCTTAGCAGCCCTCCCTCTGTCCCTCTCAACCATTTCATCACCTTTTCCCCTCAAAACTTCTATAGCTTCAAGTTACAGAATTTATTTCCTTATAAAAAATATGTTTATTGGTTGTTGTTTTTTTTTTTTCTTTAGAGAAAGAGGAAGGGAAGGAGAGAGAGAGAGAAACATCGCTTGGCTACCTCCTGCATATCTCCTTCTGGGGGCTGACCCCACAACCCAAGCATGTGCCCTGACTGGGACTTGAACCAGCAACACTTTCGGTACACAGGATGATGCCCAATCCACTGAGCCGCACCAGCTAGGGAAGAATTCATTTCTTTTGAACAGGTTAGCTGATTTGTTCCAGTCTCAGTTCTTTGGAGGAGAATCCGTATTCTTTAATCAATTAGGCTTGGCAGTCATCCTCAGTGGGAGTTGTGACCTGCGAGCATCTCAGCGGTTGGCTTTGGATTGGCTGTTACCAGGAGCCCTACAGGGTTTGTTCTAGGTTAGTTTATTGTTGGCATTTCAGTTTAGATTTTTGTGCTTGGAGGATAGTTTAAAATGTTAGACTTCACACTTTTGTGTGACACGGGATTGGGGTTTAGACTTCTTATGGGGCCTCCCCTTTCACCAAGGGCTTGTATATCAGAGGCTGGAAAAAATATCTGTAGTTTCTGTTCACAGTCAGGGGCAGTCTTCTCGCTCATGCTTTATTACAGTAAATACGGCTCCTGGCTCCGTCCTAAACTCAGCCTCCATTCCAGCTGCTGCTGGGAACTCAGTCCTGACCCCTGATGTGAGGAACGGAGCACAGCTCTCTCCAGGATAGGCAGCCCCAGCGCCCACTCACCTCTCCTTTCCCTCCCCCCCGGCAGTCTGAGGCTTCCTTTTGTGTTTTGAGCTCAGTAGTGAAAGTCCCTTATCATTCTTAGTGTGTGTTTGCTTTAAGTTAAATGTTTGATCTGAAGTGGTTGTAGATTCACATGCAGGCGCCAGAATTACAAGGAAGGGATCCCAGGACCCTTTCCCACCTCCCCACCCCCAGGGTAACATCTTGCAAAATTACTCTACAATCAAGATGCCCATCATTTCCATCACAATCCCTCACGTGGTTCTTTCATGGCCACACCCATTTCCTCCTGCCCCATCCCTCCTCAGGCTTACTTTTTATATTGAAGTTTATCATCCATTTGAGTTAATTTTTATATAGGGTTTGAGACTTAGGTAGGGATTCATTTCCTCCCTCTCTCCTTCCTTCCCTCCCTCCCTTCCATCCTTCTTTTCTTTCGGCCTGTGGGTATCCAATTGCTACAGCACCATTTTTGAAAAAAGGCTATCTTCCTTTTTAGGATTCCTTCTGCTGTTTCTGAGTTTTATGTTTTACTCCACCAATAGAATCTTCATTCCTATAGCTATACAATTAGCCTTAAACTCAGACTGATGCCTCCCATTTTACTCTTCTTCTTCCAAAACTGTGTCAGTAATGCTAGTTCCTTTGCCGTTCCATATAAATTTTAGAATAATCTGGCTACAAAAATCTTGCTGGGATTTTGATAGGAATTGCATTCAACTTAGATATTAATTGGGGCGGGGGTAGGGATTGACATTTGTTGTGTGTAATCTTCCAATCCATGAACATAGTAGGTTTCTCCCAGTCTTGCCCACGAGACTGGTGTAGGCTTCCTGGTGGAACTGAGAGGTCCTCCCTCCTTCCAAAGGAGATGGTTCTAGAGCCTCGGAGGGAAAAGGGACGAATCCCATGCACATGGCATTTCTCACAGGACATTTCCCAGCTGGCAGTGAGAACCAGCACATGGCACTTTCAGATTCAGATTTCAGACTCACAGTACGCACAGGAGCACAAAGGAGTGAATATTAACTAATGGAATTATGTGCTGGTGGCCAAGACGATGGAAAATTTTTAGATCCAAATTATTGAACGCTTTTTCCAGAAGACCCAATCCACGGGGTTTACTTTGGAGCCTTTCACACATAATTGGACAATTAATGGATGTTTATGAAAAGGACACCGAGTGAGTTTCTTTCCTTTCTGTGAACAAGCTGACTGGCGTCACGTCCATCTGCTCACGTGCCATAATTCACCATGCCCACCTACAGTGGTCCTCATCAAACAGGTCATGGCTGGGCTGGCGTCTGCCAGTCGGAACCAAGTCCTGGCTCAGGGGGAAAAGGCCCCATGGCCCCACATGGAGCATCCTTTTTGTAGTTTGTCTGCCTAGATGGGATGCCTTTTAAACCGCATCTGTCTGAGGAGGCATCTTCTAGGATCTGTCTCCCTGCATGCTTTCTTGCAATTTGCACAAATGTCTGCTACCACAGTAGCCACAGGGGCCTGCCTGCAGGATTTGGCCTGGCTTTGTGGCCCCCAGAGGACAGTCCCACGGGAAACGCTGAAATCCAGCCCCAGGTAGTTTCCCCAAAGCCTGAGGTACTCAGTTTCTTTGTTTCTTTTTAAAATTAGAATTGGGGTACAGGCTAGTTCCAGGTGCACAGCCCAGTGACTGGACATTGACATTGCTTCCAAAGTGTCCTCCCGCTGAGCCTCAGTGTCAGATGCACTGGGGGGAAAGGGGGGCTGTCTGTGTGCATTGGTCACAGGTCCTCCCCCATTGTGCGGCAGCGAGAGCTGACCCGTTCCCATTTCCAGCCTCACCTGTGGGTCAAGGGGAAGGACAAGTGTGTCTAGTTCCTGAAACCACGGGGTCTCTGCTTCTGGTCTCCAGGGAACAGCTCGCTGAGCTGAACAAGGGAGAGCGCCTTCTCGAGAAGACGCTTACGTGCAGCTCAGATCCTAGAAGCACGTGCAGAGGAGAAACGTGTCCACGCAGACCACCATCTGCAGTGACCTTCCCTGTCGAGCTGCGCAGCCAGCAGCCGGGCTTACGGCCCCTCTTGTTTCCTTGGGTGGCCCTCTGTCCATGGAACCGGAAAGGTGAATTTGTGTCACCAAGTGGAAGGGATGCGCCTAAAGAGAGCCTGAATCTTCCTTCTCTGAGGAGGCAGGGCGCTGAAGCTTTAGTATAGCTTTCCAGCCTTTACCCAGCAAGCTCTCCGTTTTTGCCAGGAGGTGCGATTACAGTAATTCTAACTCTTTACATTGCATTAGGTCCTAATTTCCAAAAATTTGAAATTTAAGAGTCCTCTGAGCTTTGCTGTGTACATGCCACCAATGAGGTGAGTGACGTCTCGAAACTGGTGCCTTATGATGGCCCTCTGGAGAGGGTGTATGTCCCACCACCACCGACTCCCTCCGCTCTGGGCCAGACGGACAGTCCTCCTGGGTCCTGTCCGGACAATCAGAGAATGTGCCGGGCCTGCCCTCTTGCTGGGGAGCTCCAGCTGCAGCCAGTTCTGCCCTCTTGCTGGTGAGCTCCAGTTGCAGCCGGGCGAGTGGCTGGGGAAGGACCCCTGGCAGAGCCGGTGGGAAAGGTTCCCGGTGGCTTCCAGCCCTCTCCCCGTCCCAGCAAATGTGCCTCAAGTGGAGGGAGGCCTGTGTAGGGGGTTTGCTGTCCCTCACCCGGATGGGGGAAGGGAGAGAAATGCTCTGTGCATCCCGGAACGCTGCTGCCCGGCTGAGGAATGCGCCCTGACCCCTGACCTTTGGGATTGCAGGGCAAGACCCATGCTCACTCAGACAGGAGATGAGCGTGGCCTCTGGCTGGGGGAGGCCCCCTCCCTGTTACTGCTTTGTGTTACAGGCTCATAAACACAGGGGTCCCCCCCTCACTCTCTCCGTCTTCCACTTACTGTCCAGTTCATCGGGT